AGTGAAGGCATACATTTGTCTCTTTACGTGTGCTACAACCAGAGGCGTACATTTAGAAGTCACTTCAGACATGAGTGCTGAAGCCTTCATCCAGGCTTTCCGCAGATTTGCTGCTCGCCGATCTTGTCCCAAATTAATGATATCGGACAATGGTTCCAATTTTGTGGCAGGAGAAACTTGTTTGCGAGAAGTCTGGAACCACCCAGAAGTACAGTCAGTCCTACAGAGACGACAATGTCACTGGAAATTCATAGCACCGAGAGCCCCTTGGCAAGGTGGGTTCTATGAGCGAATGGTAGGCACAGTCAAGAAGTGTCTAAGGAAAACTCTACACAGACAAAAGGTCAGTTACTCCGAACTCCAAACTATTGTTGTGGAAATCGAGGCGCGAGTCAATAACCGCCCAATAACCTACCTGTCTGATGATTTCACCCAGAGAGAACCTCTGAGTCCCTCACACTTGATCCATGGAGGTCTACTGAGCCCTCTCATCCCTTTAGCCGAAGAGGACCCTGTAGACCCGTCACATGTGACCAGAGGAGACTTGGTGGAAAGCTACCAGCATCTCTCCAGAGTTATTAACAGGTGGAATGAGGTGTGGACTCGAGAGTACCTCACAGCTCTACGAGAGTACCACTACGGAGCTTCGAGTCCTTACAATAAAGTGCAATTAAAACCAGGGGACCTAGTACTAGTTGACAGTGATGGACCAAGGTCAGAGTGGCCTATAGGCAAAATTGTTGCCATTCATCCAGATCATCAAGGTGTCCTGAGAGTAGTTAAAGTTTTATGCCGAGGCAACACTACTCTAAAAACTTTAGAGAAGCTGGTTCCCTTTGAATTGACTGAGCGAGAATATCAGCCAGATCCAGTTTCCCCAGTAATTTCCGAGGACAGTAATTCTGATCCTCCGAGCAACCGCCCCACTACAGCTGCTGCTCAACAATGTAGGCGGAATTTGCAAGCCTATTACAACTCTGAACAAGAGTAATTCCTTTTACACCCAATTTAGATAACTATGATGATACTGCGGTGTGATATCAGGTAACAAACCATTACAAGTCACTATGACCTAGGATATTCACATCACAGTAGATTCTGTTGTTTAAATTGTGTGATTTAAATTCTTTAATTATTGTGTAGGTTATAAATAACATGTTTCATTTGACATGAAATTAGCAAGACTTAAGTTTCTTGTAAGTCCTTGACAAATACGGGACATTCGTTATGTGTGTACTAACATACTAACATATTAACATACTAATATTAATACCAACTTTGGGATAGGTCAGTACTCCACAGTACACTACGATCCTAGAATCCTCCCCCCGGAGTTATGTTGGAAATTTCCAACACTAAATACAACACTGTTGTATTCTCATTAATTACTACTAATTCTACTAATCATTGTAGTAAGTAAAATTAACACAACGTAGAATTCACATGTACTAATAATTACATCTGTACAATAGGCTAGAATTCTTACGTCACCCGACGCCAGTATTGCGTCAGATTTCATTGTAATAAACACATTTATATCCAATGTGCCTGAGAATTGAATTCGATTCTCTATAACAAACGGTGTTCTGTGTGATAATTAATTACAGATAAACTGACCTCCAACTAAAGCCGAATAGAGCGTTTAAAGTTATAGCAGTTATCTAGTAATAAAAATTAACGTCACGCGTGAATGCCATGGAGAGACATTAATTCTTCTCCATTATACGTTTACTATCATAGCACTGGCAAATAATAATATTTAACTCTTCCAAATAATAAACCCGTCCTAACCCGAGCATTTCAAGCACAACCGCGAGAAATGATAATATCCATAATGATAATTTGGTTAATAAACGCGGGACGCGGAGCGGTGCGGGAGAAGACGCCAGTGCACGTGTTGAAACGCTCCCGAGCGGACCTGTTCACGTGTTGCTCACGAGGAGACGCCATTACCCAGTCATCAGGGTAAACGCTATCCATTCTCCAGAAGAAAGTCGCCACTGTGAGGCGTGAAGAGCCTTGCAGACAATACCTTCACCTGGTGTCAGTGTCATTCACGGAACCTGTTAAATTTTGGTTCTTTGTGACTCCACGTGACCGGCCAGTGAAGCGCGTCATTATCCAGGATAGGCTAAGCCAGAGCCTGGGACGCGAATTTCGGCAAGCCTAAACTTACACAGTGCCCATATTAGCTAAGTATCTTATCCTTATTTGATGCATCTGATAGGGTGTAGACTTATAGCTGGGTAGCTTGTCGTGACGACGTATAACAACAATAAATCACAGGTCATTATCCTTCATTTACCATTAATATTAATTTATTGAGCATAGAAATCCAGTAGTTTAATTTGTTGCTACTGTAAACATTTATTTTGCAGCGTGTGAGAAGAATTCTCCGAGCTGTCCTTTCCCATGTTAATCAACTCCTAGTGTTCCATGCCGAGTCCAGGAGAATCAGAGGAAGCGTCGTGACTAACTTCTAAGGAATCGTCATTAAGCTAAGATTCCTTTGTATTCCTCTAATTTATTATCTGTACTCTTTTACATGCAGAACTCTGTTTATTGGATTAACATGTGTTTATTATGATTATTATTATTATGTTCATAATCTATGTTCCCATTAATGATAACGATAATGATTTCATAAGTATTCATAGGATTAGATTATTATACATTGGATTAGTGAACGAACCACACTAGTTCCTGGACGTACTGAGTTCCAGTAATAACCCCCCAATGTAGGTGTTTGAGGTTTGATTCATTTAATTATACAGCCCATTAATTATTTCTATGATCATATTCTCTAGTATTTTATCCATAGTTACTGGTTCATCTAGGAATTATCTAATGATCATAATTTCTCAGTTTCCCTCTTTACTATAAAAGCGGGTGGTCCTTCGTAATTTAATTTACTATATTAATATTTAAATAATTAGATTCAAGCCCCAAATGTCCCACATTGTATATGTAAGTATTTCAGTTATAGGCTTACCTTATGGAAGCTGTGTTACCTTTACCTTTCAAATATGAGGGTAAATTAAGTTAGTAGTCTTGTGTATTAGTCATGCTACATTCTATCTTGTGTAGATGTGGCAGCAGTCTGAGTTAGGCCAGGAGTACCATCTCCTCCCTCTCTGGAAGCCTAGTGTTAGATACTCTGTAATTAGTTTGTGCTGTTTCATTCACTTAGATGTTGATCCAGTATTAATCAGCTGATTCTGCTTTACTGTTTCTAAGTGAATGAAGGTTAGCCTTGCAGAGATAGCTTAGCAAGGAATTATTTAGGCCTAGGGCACTTGAACACATTTGTCCGAACGCAGGCTGCAGGCAGGCCGCAGTGCGGGTGTGCCTGGAGTCAGTTTGTACTCGGGCGTTGTAGATGAAAGACGTAGACTGGTGATTTCTCAGGGCATGACCCGTTAAGTTAAGTAGGATTACAGTCTATACATTAGTATAACATTTAGTGGAGTGTTAGCCAATCATTTTAGCCTTACCCAATTGAGTGGGAATTCTTATTGTGTTTGCTTATATAGCCTAGTGCACGGGTCTGTCTCCCTTCTGGAGCAGATCACGTGGTGTTGTGTTAGTACATGAGTGATTTGAGTTTGTCTTTTTATGATATGTAGCCTGGCAGAATTCTTCTGGAGAAATTTAGCCCCGAGTTCTTTTTTAACCAAGTTCCATGCCACAGTATAGAGTTGGGGGATTTTTCATTGGGGAAGTAACGTTTCTCAAGCCTTAATTGAACCAGGTTGTAACAGTCCACTTACCTGGCCCACTTCTGTGATCCAACTTGCAAATTATTAATTGTAATCTGTGATAGAATGAGAAAGTTTTCCACCAGTCTGTGAACTCTGCCTCGACATTGTAAGCAAATCCGAACATTCCTCGCTTCGGCGAACCATTGTTCGGCAAACTGGTGAGTAAATCCGACCTGAAAAGTGTGCGAACTAGCCGGAGATTCGTTGAATCGGGGTACGTTCGGTTGGGAGAGTGGACCGGTCGCGGGACTTGTGATCCTGTGGTCCTGGGTTCAATCCCAGGTGCCAGCGAGAAACAATGGGCAGAGTTTCTTTCACCCTATGCCCCTGTTACCTAGCAGTAAAATAGGTACCTGGGTGTTAGTCAGCTGTCACGGGCTGCTTCCTGGGGGTGGAGGCCTGGTCGAGGACTGGGCCGCGGGGACACTAAAGCCCCGAAATCATCTCAAGATAACGTTGAATCGAGCTTGTACTGTATTATTAACTTATTAACATAAGTAACAAGTGTTAACTTATTAACACTTATTAACCTAAGTATTAAATACATTAGACATACTTAAAACAATATACTCATATAATTATACTTCCTACTCCGAAAATAATATCCATTCAGTGACACGCACAGCTGGTACCACTGATGCTCACACAAACTGATCTTGTCAAATACCCATCCAGCACAAGTGACCATACTCGTACACCGGTCCACTAACAAACTCTTAAACAGTGCAACACAATGTAATGTAATGCACAACTGCAATACAATCACACAAAATAAATAACATAACACAGCATTATGAAATGAAGCCAGAAATATGGGCAACTGTAATACATAATTAATTTGAGGTGTGATGAAAAGTATAATATTTAATTTGAATAGTTAGGAACCAGGTAAATACTTGGGTCATAACAATGCACAAAGCCCAGAGAACATAAGAAAAAAAAGCCAGAAATGTAAGCAGCCAAGAAGCACAGTAAAGAAAACCTGAGAGGCCAGAGTACACAGTGCTGGGCCAGGACGAACTCAAGCTACAGTTGTTCACCCACAGTAAATATTTGTTAGCATTTTTCCCCTTTTTAATTTCTTCCTCTCAGTGATTTGTTTTGTTTTGACTTTCTGGTCAGTTTTCTTATCCTCAACTTCCCTAACCTCTTTGAGTCAAATTCTGATCCCAGCCCAGCAATACAAGTACTTAGACCCTGGGAAGCTACCAAGGGTGCCTTCCAACAAAAGATACATACCTCTCACTACCAATCGAATGGAGCTGATGATTTCAGAAGTCTCGGACAGCATACACTTAAAATAGGCATTTTTCGTAACATTGGCCACAAATATTGAACCATCTGGAAGGACTTCCTCGTTCGGCCAATGCTTCCCTGGTCGAAACCAGTACGTTCCGTTCTGAATAGAAAAACTCTCATAATTATATACTGATAAGAGGATGTTATCCAAATGACACTAGAAACTAAACAATTCAGAATTGAAATACCCAATAAATGCAAAACAAAAAATCAGCATTGAATGTAATTAAACACCAATTTCTGGGTAAGCCCCGGTGATTCCCTGGAGCTAACATCTCAGTGTGTGTAATGTCTAAAAGTTGTCATCAGTAGCCGAGTTTTCTGACCTACCAGAGCACGCCAGAACCTGGTCTCCTCACCAAGGAGCAGTGGCAGTTATCTTTTTTTTTATGCAACCACCAGGGAAAGCAACCAGAAAGTCAGCAAGACAAAATGAATCACAGCTGGCTACTTCCTATACCTGCAGACTCAAAAATGACCAAAGAACTCCCCCAAAATAGATAAACAAATAACCAAAAAAAAGTTTTGATTCAGCACATGCTCACTTACCCCACTTTTCCCTCGTTTGGGGGACAGGTGGGTAGTCCGCTACTCCCAGGCAGCAAGCCGGTGAATGATGTGAAGCCCCTGACTCCCTAGGGGAAGGGAGGGTGACAGAGCCACCTAGGTTCACCCAAAAATTAGCGTTCCATTACATTCAACACTGATTTTCTGGGGGAAGCCCCATGTGGCTCCCTGAAGCTATCTACCCATGAAGAAGAAAAAGGCGACTTACCAGAAAGGAGGGAGCATCATCGAAATCTCAACGAAGAAGAGACGACAGGCTCAGACAGCCTACCTAAAGCCACACAAGGAAGTCATGGCCCAGGGAGATATTCACAAGTACTGGGCTGCCAGAACCCTATTAATTAAGCCTTCAGAACCCCCCATGCCCAAATGTCAACCCACTACATATTAGCAAAGCCTGACAAGAGGGTGGCATATTTGCAAACATCATGGGCACGAGGGTAGACCACAGGCTGACTAGCTTTAATGAAATTGGACAACGTGAGAAATATAAGCCTTGGAATGGAACCAAGGAGAAAAGAGCCACCCACTAGGCATCCACCGACACAGAATAGGTGGCGCGAAGGTAGCGATGCAGAGCCACCCTCGGACACAAAACATTATACACCCCCAGCCAAACCAACCAAGCCACCAAGGGACCCCTTCAGTATCCAACAAATTCATTCTTTGCCAGAAAAGAGGGAGTGAGCTGGAGACCAATAAAATGACCACAGGACCAAAAGAACAAAAAAACCAGCGTTGAATGTAATGAAACGCCATTTTCTGGGTGAGTCCCGGAGGCTCCCCGGAGTTATCCAGGCTGAATGGATATATATAACTTTCTGGCATCAGTCAAAGTGCTAGGAGTTCTTGCCTACCCGGGACCACGAGCCAGAACCTGGCCCCCTCAGAGAGGCACGAGGAGCAATGGCCTATAGAAACCTCCCTGTGGTTGGGAGCATTCTATGTCTGCCATCGACCAGGATAGGCACTCAGAAAGGTAGGTGCCCCAAAACAAACCCCCATTCTGGTGAAAATATTGCTACCGAAAGCCGAACGAGTTGACAGAACTCCAAACAAAATTATCAAACTAGCATGACATCGTCATGTCGCCACGTCACCGTCTGCGCAACCCCCCCCCACTCCTTGGGAGGGGGAAGGGGGAGCCCCAGACCCTCCACACCGGTGATCCAACTGGCAGTTCTTAGGCTGGATGTCAAAATACGCGAAAAACGCCGCCGACCGAGAGGGAGGGAGGGATGCCGAGGGGCCTCCGGGACTTACCCAGAAAATGGCGTTTCATTACATTCAATGCTGGTTTTCTGGAGGGGAGCCCCGTCGGCTCCCCGGAGCCACCTCACCCAGATAAGGAAAATAGGGAAGGATCCGGGAGGCAGATGCCACGCCCCCTAACCTAAAAAACCAAGACCACAAACGAAACAAAGACACTGCAGACCCGAACCCCCAAACAGGAACGAGGGAAGAAGGGAAAGTGAGGAACCAAAATGCATCCACGACCCCAGAGGCCAAGACGCGCAGAGAACAGTGAAAAAAAATGCAATCGAACAACAAAGGAAGCACCCCCCACCCCCACCAACCAAGCAGCAACCCAAAGACCAAAACGAGAAGAAAATAGACCACCCAGGCCAACGACCAGGACGGCACTAGAACTCAAGAGCAGGCCAGAGGGGAACAACGCCCAGGACAGCAAGCAAAACAGAGCGAAAGGAACCGCAACACCGAACGCAAGCTGGAGCGGCTCCGCCAGCACAACCCAATACGAGGTGACAGCACACAGTCCCAGACAACGATCCCAGAACAACCCCGAAGGGAAGACAAGCCAACCCTATCAGAGACTGAATGACCCTTCGCAGTGATAGGAAAACCGGAGGGACCACAAGAAAAACTCCACACCACCCCTGAGATGAAACACTCGGATGGGAGACCAACAACGAACCCACCAGTGCTGACACAAACGATGAGAAACGAGCACCACGAACGAAAGCGCAAAATGCGAATCGAAAAACAGCAACTCCGCAACCCAAAGGAACAACATAACCAGCTCCAGCAGGGAAGAATGATGCACACGTCCCTGAGGCATCCAAGAGGAGAACTACGCAGGACGTGAACCACAGTCACGTCAGTCACAGTCACAGTATTGGTCAGTGTGTGGGGTCACCCGCTGGGGTCACGACGGTCCTCAGGTCGACCCCATGGAAAACTGAACCTTTATATCACCTGAGGACCACATAAAGAATATTGTGCAAGGAGCCTATGCTATGCTTTCTAACTTCAGAATTGCATTTAAATACATGGATGGCGATATACTAAAGAAATTGTTCATGACTTTTGTTAGGCCAAAGCTAGAATATGCAGCTGTTGTGTGGTGCCCATATCTTAACACTTTCGCGCTATCTGGACGCGCCGGCGCGTCCCGTTTCGTCTAACGCTAACGCATAGTGGACATAAAGTTGAGTCCTCTTTTAAAATATTTGTATAAAATTCAATTTTTATCCGATTTACTTTGGGTTTGTTTCAAACTGCGCGCTATGAGGCTCTCTTTCTCACCACTAGGCTGCATGGTACAATAAGTTCATGAAAGGTGTGGATAACTTCGATCAAATGGTATTTTGTCCCAAACGGGTTGCAGGTGGGTGACTTTAGCCATTTATACTGGTAATGCTTCCCCCATATCATGTATTATATGCATATGTCTGTTTAGGGAATTTTATTCTGATCAATATACAACCAAAAATAACTGTGTGCAACAAGTATAAACTTGACAAACATAACAAAAGTAAAAACATTTCGTGTGTGTTTGACGCTCACTGATATGTTCCAGCGTTGTTTTATATTTGGCGCTATTCTAACTTACGCTTTGTTGATATTTTTTACCTATGGGCACATAGAACATTCTATTGCGAACACATTGACACAAAAATGAATGACGTACATAGAAAATTAATGTCATGAGAGTGAAATAAGTATAAACTTTCAAAGCGCCGTGCGTCGTCCCGTCACCGATACCGGGTAACAATTTCACCACTTCCCACACTCTTGCGGGCGGGCCGCATCATTATTCTACGCTTATATTCATATCACCGTGTTGGGAATTTCATTGCGAGTCCATTGATACCAAAATTAACGCTGTAGAATAAGTGTGGAGGTGATTACAATCCCAAGAGTAAAAACATTTTGTTGCTGATGGGCGCTCACGGCGAGTCATCTTCGTAGTTATTTATTTGGTGCTGGTATCCCTATACGTTTCGTGACTTTTTTTACTGATGTTCTTCTAGAGAATTTTATTGCGAACACGTTGGTACCAAAATGAAATACGTAGCATGAGAACTAAGGTCAGAAGAGTAAAAAGAGTATACACATTTTTGTTTTTACGCTTAAGCGATAAAAACGCAGCGCGCACATTCGGTTGGCTGAGTGACCTTTGCGGAGAGCGCGAAAGTGTTAAGAAGCACATCAACAAACTGGAAAAGGTGCAAAGACATGCTACTAAGTGGCTCCCAGAACTGAAGGGCAAGAGCTACGAGGAGAGGTTAGAAGCATTAAATATGCCAAAACTAGAAGACAGAAGAAAAAGAGGTGATATGATCACTACATACAAAATAGTAACAGGAATTGATAAAATCGACAGGGAAGACTTCCCGAGACCTGGAATTTCAAGAACAAGAGGTCATAGATTTAAACTAGCTAAACACAGATGCCGAAGAAATATAAGAAAATTCACCTTCGCAAATAGAGTGGTAGACGGTTGGAACAAGTTAAGTGAGAAGGTGGTGGAGACACCACGAGCGTAGCTCTCATCCTGTAACTACACTTAGGTAATTACACTTAGGTAATTACAGAAAAGCAAACACACTTGTTCCGAAAAAGGAACAAAGAAAAACCGGAGCCCAGCTACTGGTTTCAAGAAAAGGAACCAGTAAGGCAGGAGCAGTGGACCGAAAGTCCACAACCCCCCACAGACTGTGCAACACCGAAGCCTGCAGTAAGTCACAAAGAAAAATCGTAGGAACTCAGTACCAAAATGGAACACCGGTGAAGTCCAAAAGCAGGGAACTGAACATGGACAGAGGCCCACCCGAGAACCCAACATCAGGATAGTCAAAAACCACCGACCCAGATACACAGACAAGTGTAGCATAGGAGGCGGAAAAACGGAAATAAGCAAGGAAAACCCCAAATACGGACTAAGGAGAGGCCGGGAAGTAATGCACACGACCAACCACAAAATGTGTAGCGGAGGGCGTACATACCCGAGGGACCTCATGGACAGCAGGGTGCAGTCAGGCACCGAAGATAGGCAAGGAATGAGTGTCCCGAGAGGGAAAAGACCCAGGTGCCGACAACGAAACCAAAAGCACCAAAATGCGGGGCAGAGCCCCACAGGACAACAAAGAACAAGATACATGGACAAAGAAAAGAGAATGAAGACACACGCAAGGTGACCAAACACAACACACCACACCAAACACCCCTGTTAGGAGCCATCGATGCAACCCCGCCAATGGGTTGAGAGTAAACAAGGATGGAGCAGTG